TCAGCTTGGATGAAACCTAAAACCACTATACAAAGTGAAAAACCAGACTTCTATGGTCTGATTTCACCTCTATGAGGTGTCAGAGAAGCAAAGATATAAAAGCAGAAAGCAGACTAGGAACCTGCCTGAGGTGGGAAGGGGTAGAGGGTGGACAGCAGGAGGAAGGAGTGACGGATATAGAGGATAAGCTCTCTTCTAGCTGATAAAAAGCTTCTACACCTAATTGTAGTGTTAGTTGTACATCTGTCAATAAAGAACAAACTACCCACTTGAAATGAGATAAGATGTGTGAATTCTATTTCAGTAAAACCAAACTTGGGGCGGGGGGGAAACCAAAAAACTGTTAAAATTTTGAAAATTGCAGATGACCAAGTATATTCTAACAATCCTATTTGTGTTACATGACAAAGAAAGATTATTTGTGCATGCATTAAAAGCTTTCTGAAAGGCACAGCAGCATATGCCTGTAATCCCAGTATGGGGATGGGGGCTGAGGCTGAAAGATCACGAGTTCAAGGTCAGCCTAGGATACTTAGCAAGACCATGAATCAAATAAAACAAAACTAAACTAAACTTCACAGAAGGATCCACAGGAATGTACCTGTAAGCAGGTAAGGAGGGGCCCTGGAGATGTAGCTCAATTGGTAGAGTGCTTGACCAGCACAAAGCCCTGGGTTTGATCCCTAGCACCTTACTGGATAAACAACCAGGAAAGGTGGCACATGTCTGTAATCACAGCATTCCAGAGGTAGAGGCAATAGGATCAGAAGTTCAAGGTCGGCTTCCACACAACCTAGTGAGTCTGAGGCCAGCCTGAGCGAGACCCTGTGTATATAGCTTTTAAAAACTGTATATTTTATTCTGTTTTAACTTTTTACAAAGATGGATTACTTTCTACACAGAATAATAAACCAATTTATTAGTTTAAAAAACTTAAGGAGTTGGGCATGGTAGTGCATACCTGCTGAGTGTAGTGGCTCACACCTGTAATCCCAACACCTAGGAGGCTGAGTCAGAAGGAGTCAGTCCAGCATGGGGAACAGAGAGAGAGACCATCTCTCTTTTTTTCCCTAGATTTTTTTTTTTTTTTTTTTTTTTTGAGACAGGGTCTCCCTGTAGCCCCAGCTGACCTGAAACTCATTACATAGACCAAGCTGGCTTCGAACTCACAGAGATCCACCTTTCCCTGCCTCCCAAGTGCTGGGATTAAAGCTATGTGCCACCACACCCGGCTTCCCCTAGGATTTTTAAAAATTACATTTATTTGTTTAGTAAGAAGTAGGGAAACTACATGCCACAGTATGTGTGTATGTTTAGGTCAGAGTACAACTTTCAGAAGTCAGTTCATCCTTCTACCATGTGGGCTCTGGGGATTGAACTCGGGTTACCATTTATTTGTGTGGCAAACTTCTTTACCCATTGAGCACCATGACAGCCCACCTTCTCATAATAG